ACCATAAGAAAATTAGCCTAGATAATTTACAACTTTAACTTCAATAAACATGGAGCTTTGAACTAAACAAATCAGTTCAATTCTGCAGAAATTTTCTACTGTGGCTCTGTATCTCCAAGTGATTTTTCTTCTTGGAAATCACATCAAAATGGACCAGACACCTACACAAGAGAGAGGCTAATTCAAAACATTATTTTTGCCCATATTAAAAAAGGAAACCTTTCAGCCACTCAGCTGAGAATTTTCATCAGGATGACTCTCTGGACCAAGACGCTGAGACCTGCCATCTCACAAACAGACATTTTTTCCAATCTGCCCAAATCTACCCAATTTATTAAGCCTTTGAAAAAAATCTTACCCTACACGTGTTCAGTGCAGAGTCCTTAGGTTTGTCAGACACACCACATCTGTACCTTTTCCTTCACTGTACATCCTTCCTTTTGCCCCATTTGCCATCCTTCATCCTGTTGCTGCAAAGCAACCTCTGCTGGAAAAGGGTTATCATGAGTTTAAAAGCTCTTCTTGGGTGTTTCAATGGTACTTCTCCACACATGCAAGGGGGAGCAACTACTCTTGCATTTCAGCCACCTGGTTGGGATTCAAGGTGTCTGGGGGTACTCTTTAACCTGCCACAGCTGTGGTGGCTGTGCTCCATGGACCCTGTCATCCTGACTCTCCTTTTCTTTACCCTTGTACCACAGGACTGACAGTCTATTCCCCCTAGTCCTGTGCCTGCTGTGAGTTTGAATAAATAAAAATGTGTTGTGTTTTTAAGGGAGTAAAAATACATTAAATTCAAGGGTTTTATATATAATCTTCACATGAACATCTGGAAGCAGATGTTTAGGATCCCTTAAAACTGGATGTTTACAGCAGGGGGAGAGGGCAACTGGGATCCTACCAGGAGGTGTCCAAAGGCAGACAGAGGCCTGTATGCACACACCCTGTCTCTGCTGGGGGGTAAACTGGGATGTCCACTGAGCAGGCTGGTCAGACATGTAAGAGCAGCTCCTTTCTGAGTGTCCTCAGCATCATGCAGCCCTATAGGTCTAGAATAAAAAATACATGGCAGTCCAGAACTTTGTTAGAAGGGGGAATATCTTTTATGAAATCATATATTAACATTGAAAACAAAATCAAACTAAAACAAGAAAACTTGCAGTCTTTCAAGGACTTCTACATGTCTGACAGAAAGGCAGCAGACTCCCAGTACAGGTTGGAAGGAATTATGCTGGCTTGATTATTTAAATCTATAACATAGTTTGAGAGAAGAGAGTGGTGCTCCTACCTCTCCCTACACAGTCTACATTTTATAGAACTGCAACTACAACATAGTATATAACATGCTGTGCATTTGAAATATGTTTATATGAGGCTCTCACAGAGAAGTATCATGTAGCGAGGAACAGAGTATTTTTATACACATTCCAGAGGCAATGGCTGGCTTGGGGGGGAGTGACAACTTCTGAGCATATAGGTGCATGGTTTTCATCCCAGTGTTGTCCTGCAAACAAAGCAAGCTGTCCCATACAAAATCAGACAAGTGAGTTTCCAGCTACAGCATCTTTTTTTCCCCCTACTCTACTTTTTCTGTAGTATTGAGAGACCCAGGGCAGCAACAGGCTCTTTACACCCAGCGGACTTCAAAACAGTTTCTATCTCGGATTACCAGAGTCTGCAGAATTCAGCTGTTTTGAAAGCAGTCAGAGGTCACTGCAAATCAGCAGTCTTTGAAAAGTAACCTGTCAAGGCATCCACTTCTCATGGTTTACCACATCTATCTAAACATATCTATACACAAAATGGATGACGTCTCCTGCTGCCCTTTCGAATAGTTTAGTGTAAGACCTCTCTGTTTTCTCAGCCTTTGTACTGCTCTGATACACAGGGCCAGCCGGCAGTTCCAATTAAAAGAGCAGAGGAAAAAAAGAGTGGGTAGATCTTCTTCCAGATGGCTTTGAAGAGACATCAATCTGCTACAGAGGTTCACAAGACCCCAGACAAGTAGTTAGATAAATCAAGACTATGCATTAAGGCTAAAATCGCAGCATTACATCAAACCCAAATGTTTTTTCAGTATATTAATTACCACAGCAATTTGGCTGACTAGAAAAGGTGAAAGTGTAAACTTTAACTGAAGAAATCAAGGACCATATTACCAAGTTTTAATACTTTCCCATTATTCCTGTTATATGCTAGTTAATCTTATTGTCACAATCCTCTAATGTATCCAGCAAATGTGCGCCTGTACACACATACATGGAGTGTGGTCTATCTGAGAGAAAGGCGGGGTAAAGAGCACAAGCCAGTGTGCTCCATCATCACATGTAGCAGTTAAATAGCTACACAGCATCCTCCCTGCAATGGCTGCATCCTCTGCTGTCTCTCTATCCACAGGAATGTCTCTTCTGGCACTGGATTTTGAAGGTCAGACCTCCAGCAGACTGAGAAATAAACAGGACCCTGAATCACTGCCTTTTGAGATGGCTGAACTTGCCATGGCCATGGATAGGCTAGAATGAAAGTTTGTGAAATTCCCCTGTGCAGGACAAATGTGAGGAGACTAAAAAGAAAGAAAAAAAAAAAAAAGAAAAAAAAAGAAAAAAATGTTCCATGTTCCTGCAGGAATGACATGGTGCTGGGGCAACTGCTAACCGTAACAGCTTGGTGGCTTTGGTAGAGCATAGCATGGATCACCCCATCCAAGCATCACATTTCCTGCACTCATTTATACCAACAGAAAATTCTCTGCTCAGAAATAGCACGGATACTTTGTGATCATCAACACTGGTCTGTGAAAACATGAACAGAGAATGTCAGGATAGGAAGGAGGAATTTGCAGACCTCGGTGCTTCCCAAACCCTGTCTGCACCCGCTGCTTCTGCGAGCGGCTGGGGGAGAGCAGCGGCAACCGCACAAGCAGTGGGAGCCCGGGAGGCCCTGCTTGACCCCGGGTTGCCCTCGGGGAGCTCGGAGGTGGAGTCTGACTCTGACATCCCCCCATGGTGAGGCCATTTCCCCACTCCATGCAGGCTGCTGCAGCCGCTGGGGAGTTCCTGCTCCAGCAGTGAGGGCAAGGGGTGAAGGGGGCTGGTTGCTTTTGCAAACACGGTTAACAAAATGTTGATATTATGCTTAGCCGTTGTCTCCTTGTCACTAGTCACTTGCAGTTATAGGTCCAGATGTTAAAAATGCCATCACAAGGCAGAGCTGATGAACTCTGCTGTTACTGTTACGGTCTTCTACATATTCAGGATGTTCTGTAGCCTCATGGGACTGTGACCGAGTGTCTAGGGAGGGGAAAGGGATGGCTGAAGGTTTTATTCAAACTTCAGTACTTTGCCTCTATATGGGAACTTATTTCATTTAAGACATCCTGGGGTATCCAACCTATCCTCAAGAAGACCACAGTTCTCCCTCAGGTCCTGTGCTGTATTTTTCAGCCCTATGTGGACATCCGATTTTGCCCAGGGCATTTCAAATGGCCCTGGGCATTTATGCTTCAGCAAATTAGCTGAGTTGGCAATGTTCTCCTCTTGTCAGCAATTTATATCACATGCCGGTGATGTGGTTGGCGAAACACAACAAAACTCACAGGGAAAAACTTAGTGATTTTATTGCAGGATACAAGTGGAAAGAGTGTGATTCCCCTGGAAACTATGTTATTCTATCGCCTAGGATTTATAGCCTGTGCCTAAACTACAGGTGAGAAAAGTTGTCTTCTATAAAGCCACTGAAAGATGGGCATCTCCCATCAGGATATTCTGACTCAGATACTCTAAAAAATTTCTTTCTTCTTACTCACACCTTTGGAAAAAAATTGAGAATCCAGATTATAAGACTGAGAATAAAAGGCCTCCTTTTAGGTAAGGTTATGTACTGTTTATTGCAGAGTAATTTAAAGCCACTGAAGAAATTAGTAATTTAAAATCACATTAAGAAAGAAATTATTTTCCCAGAGCCTAAGTTAGACCTGAAGGAAAATACTTTTTTTTGGCACTTCAAGAAGTGCCCTGTAGTTCTCTTTAAAGCTAGTTTTAGGTCCTTTTCTAGGAAAAAAATAAGATAAAATTTATAAACTGATAAATACAGATGTGTTAAAGTAAGACATGGTCATGTTTTAAATTTAATTTAGTTGGACTTTGTGTCTTTAAGGGGTGAGTGACTCCAGATGAAATCTCATCAAAGACAGTCATTAACTGGAAAGAGTAACAGAGTAAAAATTTCTCAGTATGGAGCTCTGTCATGAGACGAAAAAGAGAGTATCAAATCTGATCGAGCTTATCTACTGGACATAAGGCTGGGTCCACAAATCCTCCAGTTCCTCTTTGGTCTGTTTAGGTTCAAAGTGTCCCTAGAAAGCTATGAGGGTCACTCTTTGTCTGTCTAATCTTTCCTCTGAATACTGGAAGGCTTTGGATTAACCACTAACAACCCAACATGCAGCTGATGGTTGGTTTCCCAGCTCCACTCTTGGGGGCACTGGTTTACAGTGCTGTCCCTCAGATACTCACAGCCATTCAAGAGACTGAGACACGGTCTCGTGAAGGACATCTATAACAATCACTGTCTTGAATGCTACAAAATATAAGGAACTATACAAGCATTATTCTCAAGAAATTATTTTTTTTTAATATATAAATAGCAGTGAGAATCCATACACGGTAAGTGTATAAGTCTACTATACACTAAAGAGGGAACTATACGCTAAAGAGGGAACCTTTTCCCAGGTCCTTTTCCCAGATTAGGACCAATTTCACACCCAGGAGATGCTGCCTCCAAAATGCCAACACTGACAGACCTATTGACACTTCAGCATTGATAGGGTTTCAATACTCTCCAGGTGGGCTATTTTCATCCCAGACTAGCAGTGTCTGTTTGAGAATTAAAGAGATCTAGATAGACTTACCACCTGTCTTGCTCCACTGGGCTTCAAGGCTGATAGAAGGGGGTCAGCCTTGTCAGTGTGCTCCTGTGTCAGGGTACCCAGGCTGTAGCTGTTTCATATTTTTGAAGACAGATGTGCCTTTGTTTTACTTTCTACTTGTTCCCTTTGTTTTACTATTTTCTTGCCTAATCATCCATCTGTGAGAAAAGAGGATATTATGAAGATACAAGTTACAGAGTAAAAGTTGTGGCCTGTATTATTTAAGAAGTCAGACCCGGTGATCTAGTGGCCCCTCCTGGCCCTGAAATCTGGAGTCCCTTCTGACTGACACAATCAGTTCACTTACTGGAGAAGCCTCTGGGCCTAGGTTGTTGGCTCATCTTTTACACTGTTCTGCACTAATTGACAATAATGAAGGTATGTGTAGTCTCCACTAGATCACATGTTTTAAGACAACTTCAGAGTAATCATAGCAGTATGGATTTCATCAGCCTATAGACTCATTGTCAAAAATGAAATGAGACCAACTTTATGTCATTTTGCCTCATGTTCAGTTCCTAATTTTCTGGATGAAAATTTCCTTCTGTAAATAAGTTATCTTCCATAACAAGCTGAAGGTACAAATGCTCATATATATCCGTGCAATGTTCAGCCTGACAGAAAATTCACTGAGTTCTCTGATAGCTAATTATTAACCCAAAATTTCAGATATAATGCTTTGCAGGCATAAAGTGATGCTGAATTGAATGTAGAAGGTGAGAAACAGAGTATCTTCTAATGCTCCCCATCCAGTTCTCCATTGTTATATTTACTTCATTCCACTGGGAGTAGCTTTTCTCAGGGAAACATCTGCAGCACAGAAAATATCCCTAGCAGGATGAGAGTGGCTGCAGTGGCCAACCTTGCTGCCTCATAATAATCTGTGTGATTGACCTATCATCAAACATCAGTGGGACAAGGCATCTTGGCTATTCTCTGTTTCATACAGGTGATATGGAAAACATGAAATTAAACTAGAGCTGTCTTCAGGCTAGCCTCCAACCTCCATGGATAGTTAGTTTTCTAGGCAGAACTAGAGAAACAAAAAGCTATAAAAGAAAGATATAAAAAAAAGAAATAATACTAATCAGTCAATGAATTTTGATACAAAGTGTGTACAACACTTCTTCCACCTGCATTGTATACTTTCAGTACTCTGAAGGAAAGGCCAAAAGGGAAGTAATAAAAACACCCTTGGGTACTAAGAAATTGGCTCGTAAAATAACTACAGTAACAATGTTGTTTATTAGCTTTACAGTACAAGATAAATATAAATGGAGTATATCCTCGAACTAGCAAAATATGAGGAATCAATCTCAATAAAAAGAACTGATAGGATAAGCTATTTGGGAAGCAGATAGCAGCCTGGACTGGCTTAGAAACATTAGCCTGTGCTTCTCTGTAGTGATTGATGTCTTCTCCTGCCAGATGACACTGAACTTCGCAGAGAGTGAGGCTTGGAGGGAGGTATTTGTAATGCCTGTCTGTAATCTCCAGAAGCATTATGACTTCTGTGAAGGATAAATGCAGAAATATCTGTATTTCTGCTAGAAGACAGTCTCTGCTAAAACAGAAATTAAACATATTTACAAGACAGTGAGTTATGATAGAAACCTGACCAGGCATTTCTCAAAGTGACTGGCATCATCTGCTGACAGAGCCACACTCAGAAAGCCAATCTTCAAACCTATAATGGGAAGCATGGATGTTATCACAGCACAAAAGTGCGAGAATTCAGATTTTTTTTCCTAATCTTTTTCCTCTGGCAAAATTAAAATGGCTTTTGATTTTCTTTTACTTTGAAACAAGGCTAATGGTCATATTTTTGAAGGGAGAGGTAAAGGTGGAGTAATACCAAAGTTGATTTCATTGTAGGTCAATTCATCATTGATCTTTGCTCACCTGGGCTGCTATGACACCTCGCTGATCTCGTCACTCAAACATGTCTTCCTTTTACTCACTTGCCCAGCCAGACTGCCTCTCATGTGCTGGCTGTGGTCTCCTTTCCACTTAATCTGACATGGAGCAGTTTGAAAGATGGTTGGCCCAAGTGCAGCATGGGACACAAATACCCAGCGGGAGACCTGTTGAAAAATGGCATGAGTCACGTCATTTCTTGTTCCTTGTGACAAAGAAAAGTCCCTAAGCTTCTGCTTGAGTTCACATCCTGGTTATAATTTCCTAATCATTCAGGGTGATGTCATGGGTAAAAAATGCATGAGTGACTGAAATTAAATTGAAGGCTAGACTGTTCCTTGTAGTGTTACTTCATTACTAGAGAGGGAGAGGGAACACAGAGGGGTTTTTCTTTTATCACTTATGGTATCCTTATTTCTCAAGACAGGAAGGTCAACTTTTCCACAGGATCCTGCTATGCTGCTCTCCTTCAAGACATTAAAATACACCTAGAAATGTACCCTCTGGGCCTGTCTAGTGAACCCTTCCCTGGCTCCCAAGGTCCTTGGAACAGAGAGATTCATTATCTAACATCCCAATGCTGCAGGAAAATGGTCACCACAGGCTCAACTCAAATAGTTCTTTGCCCAATGCAGCTATTAAAAACCAATTTATTAAATCGTATGACTAGGAAAATGCTTAAACAGGTCAGTTGTTCTAATTTTTCAGGAGGGAAGGAGGAATATCCTTCAAAGATGGTACATAAAGCACATAAGAAGACTCGATTTTAACCAGATGGCTTTTCAGTCTCAGGTAATTGTTATGATCAAGACACTATCTTTCTGAGGCATCTCCAGGACAATTTCTGCTCCAAGCACAACCAAATTATGTAGAAACAGAAGGCTCTATCCATGGCAGGTGAGATTCACAATCCCTTTACATCATTACTAAGACCACTAAATGTAATGCTATGCTGACTTAAGGGAAGTATAACAATGACAATTATGATTTAAGAACATAACCCTAATTACATTAAAATAAAATAATAATAACATCATTAACAAAAAACCACTTCTGAAGAGCAATTTTCATTCAGAACCAATTTTCTTGTTCTGGGCAAAAGTCCATCCTAATCACGCTGAAAGTCAATACATTACTCTGACTTGAGGCAAAAGCACATCAATTCTTGACAGCTTCTGCAGATGCTCTGTCCTTCTGCAAAAAAAAGCCCTTTAGTATTTGGACAGAGTGGTTTGCAAAAGGGTTTCGTGTCACAACTACTAGATAAAGTATAAATTCCCTCCATGGAAAATGCAGTCATCCTCTATAGCAATCTAGTTATCCCTTTCATGCATGAAATGTATCTCTAACTTGATACACAGCAGTCAATGGCTTGAGTGAGTGCTCTTTACGTGGCAGAAGCTTTCCATTTTCTGTGTTGCATTTTTAAAGCTCTGCAGACATTTTACCACAGGGCTCTGGCACACAAAGTGGGTTTGTGGTTTCACTGGGTTTGTTATTTCAACCACTTACAACAAGGCTAAACAAAGTCACCAGTGTCTCCCCTTAAGAAGAAAAGTCTGATCAGACCCATGGTCTATTATAAGGCAATTCCATGAACTAGCAGTCTAGAAAAAGCAGCTACAGGGGAAAAACAAAAGTTTCATCTTGTCTGCAGACAGTGGTCTGGGCAGCGTTCTCCAGAAGCTCATGCTTTATCTGCCCTGTGTGGCTCTTGGCCACACTCAGAGGCAGACCCCCAGACAAGGTAGACTTTGGCATGACCTTGCAACCATTCCTGTGTCCTGATGGGAATTAAGTTTATTCAGAGCACATCACTATGCTGGCATATGCCTGTCACAGCATGTCTGTATGTCTTAGCTTCCCAGGTCACACAAAACAACAAGGTTGAGAGGTTTCTGAACGAGTTTCTCCTCTCTCCTCAGCTTTGCCTCATCATCTTCCTTTTTTTTTTCATTACATCAAGAATGTTTCATTAACATTTTGCATTAACATCAAGAATATTCTCTTTCACATTGTACCATGGCCCCAGCTCTGGTAACAGAGTAAACAACCTTGGCCAAGTGGCTGCAGAGGTAGATGTCATAGGCACTGGAACCCCATGGCTCCCAGTCTCAGTTAGATCTGAAGAGTTACTGAAATGCTAACTCCATCCTGAAAGCACATTTGCTAAGGCATAAGGTGCTTTCCAAATCAGGCAAGCCAGATCCTGTTCCCAGACAAAAGAGTCTGGAGTCTCAGGATACAACATTTCTATGAGAAAAACAGGGACAATATCACAGAGGGTTCACATCTGTGACTGTTCAACTATTTTGGTAATGAACCTCACACAGAATATAATAAATATAAACTTCAGCTCATCTTAATAAAACCCATCCCAGAAAACATATTTTCATAAAAAAACCCAAAGTTAGAATTCTCTTTGGTAAGAACACTCTCAGAAGGTGGCAGAGCTAATGCTGAGATGTGGCTGCAACATGGCTTAATTTTTTTGTGTTGCATAGGTAATAAATTATTCTTTCTACTTTAGAACATAGATATATTTGCTAAATAGCTTCATATCCATTCAAGTCACATACCACCCCAAGGCTCTTAAATATAACAAATATTTACAATTTAAGTCACATCTCCCAAGCTAGATTATATTGCTTTTATGCCTAGGCATGAACTAAAAGAGACCAAAATACCCTTACAAAAGAAAAGCTACAGGGATGCAGTAAGGTTTCTGAAGTTTTATAAGTTTACAAAAAAAAAAGAGAAAGTAGACTGAGAGTGGAAAAACATCTTGTCAATATAGTAGCCAAGTTAAACCAGATGCTGCAAGGGTAACTTACCATTAGAAATCCCAGAGGTGGTTCTATTTACCAGGGAAGGGATGGAAGGGCTAAAGGAAATTAATATTAATTGGGTTTATTTAGCTTGGCCATTGGCCACAAAGTTCAGATAAAGTGCATTTCCCAGCCAACTCTCTTACACCAAGTCAGATGTAAGTTATTATGTGTTTTGTCACTTCAACACGAAAAAAGAAAGAACTACAAAGCAGTACAAAGGAGTGGTTTCCCTGCTTCTTTTGGCCATATTAGATGCTTTCATTGTGCAAACATACCTGTTAGAAATATTTTTTTAACAATCCTGCCATTGGCCATCCAAAAGTAAAACTGCAAACATGGCACTTCTGTGTAACTAAAGGATATGAGGAAAAGCAAATTCACCAGAGACCTTAATACATGAGATCCAAGTTTCTTTTTAGTATAGTATTTTTAAACCTTCTATGATTGCTGAGGGATGAAGGCTTGAAGATGAAGTGGAATCCCATGAGCAGGGCACTCACGGGGGCTTCCTTTGGACTCATGAATTGTTGCTGGGCTTGTGCCTATTTCTTGTGGTCAAACAGACAAAGGTGGGCTACCTCCCATGAGATGTTCTAGATCATGAGAAAGCTAGGCTAAAATCTTGACTGGCATGGCAGACGAGACAACAAATTTCCAGTACAGCAGAAGGATGGGATGGGATGGGATGGGATGGGATGGGATGGGATGGGATGGGATGGGATGTGTGCTCGTGATTCCACTGGCCCTATAGCTGACATTAGCATCCTGTCTACTGCACTAGTGCTTGTCCTAAACAAGAGATGGGTAACTTGTCTCCCAGCTTGGGCTGTAGACTGCTTACTAACCTATGTGCTGCCAAGAGGATACAGATTTGGAGTAGCTGCTTTTTTTTTGCTTTTTTTTTCAGTTTACAGAACTTATAGAGCAGTGACTCATGCTGAAACTTTCTTCCCTTCACTTTAAATTGACTCCTTGTCACTTTTATGAAGCAGAATTTATTTGAAGTTTTTTAAAAAAAGAAAGCAAAAATATCTCCACGCTGGTGCCCCCATTACACTACATTGTATGTTATCTCCTGACTTCATTTTTCCGTGTCTTTTCTTGAAATGTAGTGCCAGTGGGAAGCTGCATTTGTGACATAAAAGGCTTTTAGGGGTGAGAAAGGCCTTGTATAAGAGAAAAAACTTATGTTTGCTGTCTGAGAGCACTCTTGAGAAAATCTTGGCAAGAAACTTGCTCAGAGAGCAAGAGAAGAGCAGGTCAAGTTGGAGTAACATCCAAGCAGTAGTGGAATGCATGGGCTGAAGTTAAATCTCTGGCAAGCTGGGCTTCAGCAAGAGCTGCGGTACATTTACCCATGACAGTTTCACTGCCTGTCACCTACTGTAGGTATCTTTCTCCTGTGCCATTTCCTGGAAAGGAACAACCTAGCTGCCTCATTTACTCAGTGAATATGTTTGGCATCCAAGAGGCTGGGTGACAAACGTTTGTTAGCTGCATTTGCTCAGGCAAGGGCACTTGGCTATTGGTCCACCCCCACTACACATGGCCTGTTTGTTGATCTGGCCATCAGTGTTGTTATGCTTCAAATTGTTGGGACCATGACTTACAGTTGCCTTTCAAAAGGGAGGAAAAAAGGAAAACAAACCCCAGCAAGCTTGCTGCTCTTGTACTTGATGTGCAAGCGCTAAACTGCCTTTTCCCAGGAAAGAGATATATCTTTCACACATAGGTCTTGATCCAGTTTTCAGCCAACAAACAGCTAGATAACAAAATATCATGGAGGTTGGCAATGACTGGCAGCTTTGCTGGCAACATCAGCTACTCTCTGGCTCCCAGGGGCATCTTTTGCTCAAAATAGTCCATGGGGCTGGTTTGTAAAACATTTTCCATCCAAAGTTTACCTAAAACTTTGCCAATGTGAAGCCACTGTTTTCAAAGCAAGAAGGGAGAAAGAAGAGATCTAAACTTTAGTTCCTGTGCCCTTGGTTGGATATCTGAGTAGGCATATTACTTTCTGAATGGACAGAACTAACCGTGCTTCCAGATCCAGTGAGACCTGCTCAGTCCCAAGAAGCCCACCTGTTAATCCAGGGATCTGGAAGTGGCTGAAGCTGACAGGGAGATGTCTTGCTGACCATCTCCTGGAAATAAGATGTCAAATATGACTTGGGAAAGGTGGCTAGTCCGGCCAAAACCAGGGAATGGATTATGACTAAGAAAACTCCTGCTGAGGCAGGAAGCAGAGGACCTGGTGGAAATCACTGCCTGCCAGCATTTACCATGGTAGTTGTCAGCTGCCCCAAGGCCCTCACTGAAAGGCAGTGGGCTTACAGCAGTGTCTCTCCACAAAACCACTGAAACCTCATTCCTCTTCCCACTCTATCCTCATTTCACCTCCTCATCTGTGACTCAGCTCATGTCTCAGCAGGGGCACTAGGAGGAAAGTTTGAGAGACATTACTGTTCATGACAGAAAGGGTAGCAAACCACAGTGTTTTTAGGCATGTCAGTCTAATTGCGGGTACCCAGGTGCACGATGCACAGACCACATCAGCATACTGATTTTACAGGTGGTGACATAGAAATGGTGATTAGAAATGACTGTACCTAGGTTACATGAAGGGAGCGGGCAAGCTGAACCCATCCTATGCTGCAGCCACCAGGCACAACTTGGGAAATGGGCACTCTTGTTGCCTAGTCTTCCCTGTCATCAGAAAATTGAAACCAACAGCAGTATCAGCCACAACACCCTTCAGCCCTCCTGACTCCTCAGGTTCAGCAAGAAATATAAGCACATGCTCATTACTAAACACAGTAACTGAAACCAATTGGGCTGTTCATGTGCTTCCAGTTAGGCATGACTTCCTCCAAGTCTCTGCTGCAAATGTACTTCACATTAGAAAAGAAAATGTCTGTAACAATATATAACAAGAAGGCAAACTGCTGCACATTAATCCTAACCAGCATGCTTCCTTCTGCCTACTGAAAAAGAGTTATTCAAAGCACAGGGTTCAATAAGTTGTCTGTGACCCACACATAGTTAAGTATTTTACCCTGAGATCACATCCACAAAATGAGCTCAAGAAAAAAAAAAAGAAAGAAAGGGAAAAAAAGGAAAGTCTGCATCCCACTGCATTCATCCAAATCTTTGCCAGCATCTCCAAAGAGGAGAGTTTGTTAAACAGAAATTTAAGTTACTAGTAAATTGGCTTGGAGAAAAATAGAGGATCTTCTTTCCTGTCTTTGGGCAATGTTCTGTAGGGCCTGTGGCACAGCAGAGATTTCAGAGGCGCTGCCTGAGGAGCTACAGAAAAGACAAGCAACAGTCTCTTCACTGAACCTCAGAGAGAGACAGTACAAAGATTTATTATTCCACTGTATGCACTGCTTGTAAGTAGTTCATCTTTCTCCCTCCGTTTATTTGTGTCTTTTACTGTCCCTAATGAAGAATCCCAATGCTATCAAGTCTAAATTACAGACATTTTATGTTTCTAACATTTATTCTGCTGATCTTCCCTCTTTTCTGGTGCTTTTGGCTGCTGAGATGTGTTTGACCTGCTGTTGGGAGGAGATACAGCTGCTGACTGTATTCTTCATTCCATCTGTTTTTGTCTGTTGGTGTAACTCCACTAAAATCAATGAGACAGCACTCATATCAAGTTGGTATTACAGAGTTTAGATCGGGACTAAAAACTCTGGACAATTTGGATTTCTGTAAATAACTGAAAATCTATCACTCAAGTTTTTCTGTGGCACTTCAAAATCTTCTGGAAAGTACTAAGCATTATACAGACATAATTTCATGGACAGATGGAAGACTGCCTATAAAAGAATTTGGTGCAGGTTTGCTGGCAAACAGTGCCCTTTGGTATACAGCCAGCTCTCAAAATCCAACACCTACATCATCTTTGCACTAAGAGAGAAAGGGGGGCTTTGTAAAAGCATGTTTCTGGAGCTTCTCTGGATGCTCAGACTTGATGGGAGAGTTCCCATGACAGAAGACACTTCACAAAGCCAGCAGTGAACAATCCACAAGTTTCTTCAAAGTCAGCAGGACCTCACAGGGCAGTGTTCATCCCTGCCTGGATGGTGGCTGTCTCACTTCCCTCAGTTTTATGGGTTCTAATCTATTTCCATCCCTTACCCTATTTTATGGTTGTGGTTGATAAGATAAATTAGTCTCTTTTTTGAAAGTGTCACA